ATCGAGTCTTCTTTCTAGTCTGGAACTTCCTTGATATCTTAACGAGAATTCACGATGAGCGAGTTAATTTCGAGTTGACGTAGGTACAATTCACTTAATAGGGAGCTAGCTAGCTCTGGAGTCTTCACTAATCATAGGCCGATTTTTTCCACTGATGACGTTAGGTAATGTTTTCATAAAAAGTCAGATGTGAATTCACTGAAGTTAAATGGTTTGTAATGTTCGAAATTTATAAATGTTCCTGGTCAAATATCTGAAGTTTCCCGATTAATAATCGTTATATCAATCACAGTTATAGCTTCCGAAGTTTATAGTATAACAACTATAGCAAACAAATAACATATACTGTTTTTTGGCGCGTCACGTTGGTTATATTTATAGGCGTGTGGAGAGTTTTTCGAAATTTCAGTTTTAGGTAACAATACTGACGCTACACTAGCATTTACGTACGCACATATATTGTTGTTTCTTACACTCAAGAATCTTCTACAACATTACAGAATAGGTGGAAATTTCGCAATACAAATCTAACAGTAAAAATTATGTATATTTCTAAATATAAATTTAACTTAAACAAATATCGATATTAAAATAAATATATAATAGTAAATCCGTCACAATTTTGAGAATATTCATAGCATTGATAATTAAGTTATTTTGAAAATATCATAATAATTACGTTATAAAAAGAGTTATGCATGTTAATAAAGGTGCTTTATAGATCTAGTTATGGAAATACTTGGGAATTAAGTAAATACATCAACAGTCAGCATTTTGTTGTATCAGTCATTGTTTTGATAAAACCAGTAAACATTTTGTTGTATATAACACCTTTATGTTCTTTATTTAGTGACCAATAGTTTTAGGAACTTAATCTCTGATTATACATTTCAGGACGGAGTTGCAACACCATTTCCCGACTTTACCTCGTCTTCCGTCTGGGGTCAGCCGATGTACCACTTTACGACCTTTGACCAGGAAGGAGTAAGTTGAGCTAAACAGTTCCATTATTTTCTTAGTTATATATCACTTTATGCATTTAGTAGTTCCACGACGACAATCTTTATCAAAAAATATATTTGTTCACATACAATTTTGACTCATTCAGTATTTTACAAGTTGAATACTTTATTTTTTGTACCACAATATAATGCGCCAAATATCTTTATGAAGCGTAATTAAACATAATAATATTCTGCTTATAAATCAGTTTAACGTTTATTTTTTTGATAACAATTTAAAATCTTTGAGCTTAGAGTGTTAAACTTTGACGCTAGCGGAAGTGCGTAGCACACGTTGACGATATTCCTAGTTTTATTATATTGGATATATATGAGGAACAAAGAGTTGTGAGAAAAAATACAAGGTCTTCTGTCATTTACTATTCATCACTCACTCAATTGTTATTCAAAGTAAATAGCGATTACAATGAGAAAATCGCCTAACAAAATAACTTTGAAGAAAAGAAACAAAGAGTTGGGTAACAAATATGAAATTCGCTGGTGGATATCTAGCTTCTATTAACTTAGATATTAAAGGTTATGATAACGGGTTATATGACCGTTACTAACGATGTTATTTTACAAGGAGTGTTTGGAAATGGAACCTTCTGTCTCCAAAGGTTGGGGTCCACAAAATATTCTGCAATTTTGCACTTATTTCAAGCAATCATTTATATATTTATGATTAATTAATATATGTTTATCCGAAATAAATAAGTATCTGTTCCTAGTGTTGTGTGGCAAAGAAAGAAAAACTAACTAAACTACATAATGAAAGTAGTTTTATAAATAACACGCACAAAGCAGAATACAACTGATGAAAAACATTCAAACTTCTTTCTTCTAAAATTGTATCGAACTTATTTCAATTTGATTTTTGATATTGAAATAATAAATTATTTATTCGGTTTCTTTCTTCAGGAGAACTTTAGGTTCTTTGTTTAGTCAATGCGTGGAAACTGCCTTCGTTTTACGCACTCCTTACTTCCTATACAATACAGACAAAGAGCTGCGGTACATTGTTCAGGATCTTCCTCATTCACAACAATGTTACGTTGAAGCTCGTTGCAGGTAAGTCAAATCGAATTTTAAGCGTTTGTTTGTTTTCAGAACACAGAGAATGATGATACTTTGTATGAACTATGAACCTCAATTCTACAAGATGATACTATATTGGTATTGATATGGTATAATATCATAAAAGGTGCGGGCAAATATTTGCTTAGGAAGGTGAAATGTTGGAAGCATTTTATAAATTCAATATCGTACAAAGTTCTAACATTTGTTAAGAAAATCGCAAGCATCTGTGTAACAGATACCTGAAAGACTACTGATAAAGAACATACTGGCTTGCTAATGAGTTTTATCCGGTTTTGCATTTGAAACTCTAACAATCTCTGTTGTATAAATCCATTTTATTATATTTATGCACTTTGAACACACCAGGAAAGTTGTAAAGTAAAAACAACAACAAAAAATACACTAGGCCACATACCCGCTCTATTTGTTTATTGAGGAAACAAATTAAAATAACTATTCTTACATACGACTAGTATATTATACTTATTCTTACGGAATATTACATATCGTGCTAAGAAGTGTTATACTTCGTCTCTAGATTTGATTTTATCCCCCGGTGGGTCAGCGGAAAATATACGGACTTACAACGCTAAAATTCGGGGCTCGATTTTCCGTAGTGGACATGGCAGATAATCCAATGTAGCTTTGCTCTAAAACAAACAGAGAAAGGTTTAAATTTTAAGCTAATAGGATATTTCTTAATGTGTCTATATTTTTGGAAGCTCCACTGGATTCGATGCATATTGTTGATAGATAGTTACTTTAACGGGGTTAGTCATAACATCCCTAGACATTTTACATAACAATTCTTATAGTTTATCGGATGAGTCCCCAAAAAAGGCCCAGTAAATGACTTTCATTGCAACCCTCCCGCAGCTTTTTTTGGTTGCTGGGGTTAGGGAAAAACACCCTTTAGCTACAGAAAAACGATTGTTGGACAATCAGAGAGGTGATATTTTAAGAGTAAATAGTTTTGGAAAACTGGTTTTAAAAAATGTAAGCACGCATATTCCAGCAATACTCACTTCACACTCATTTAATGTCATGTTACCCAAAATAATTATGTTTCCAACTTGTTTGCCCTTTGTAATACATATTTATTACGAATTTACCTTGAAAAGTTATGATCACTGGTTACCAATCCTCCCAGTAACTGTCCAAAATAAAATTCAGTATAAGTACAAAATATAATTAATTCGGGATGGCTCTTTATCATGCTGTATTCATTTGTCCTAGATAATAGTTAACAACCCAGAGCCCTCGGGTCAGTCTCAAATGTGTCCCACTTGATAGTAGAAATGGTTTCTGTA